TGGAATGGTGCCCTGGGGTCAGGTGTGAGATCGTGCTGCTCTCCATGCTGTATCTGAGATGTACATGAGGCCTTATAGCAAGGGAGAGACAGATGAGAAGAACGCTATACAGTCTTCACGGTATAAAAAGATGTGGCTTTACGTCAAGATAATCCTCATGCAGAAAAGTCACCGGTCATGTGTCTCCTCAAAGCCAACGCTTTTGTAATGAGTTGGGAGATCTGTCTGTACAGTCTATGAATTTGGGTTGAGGTCGTGAACTCGTTGTGTATATGTCCACATGAGACTGCCAACTCCATATTGATTGGAAGGTTGGTCTTTACTTTACTTTTCTCCTGCCTTTTAACCTTCACTTTGAACTAGAAACCCAGTGGAGGTGTTGGACCACAGATAACAAAAGAGGATTATTGACTTAAAGAGCCCTCCCATTGAAAAGGAATAACGCAGAATAACAGACTGGCTCCCGATTAGGATAAATTGTTTTCAAAGGAGAGGTCACCTTGGCAACTAAGTCACCTGATGGGTCTGTGGTAACTGGTGGAGGCTAACGAAGGGGATACATGGCAGAGAGACTAGGAGGTTAAAAAAAGGAGGGAGCCGATCTGTTTTGGGGCCAGTTCAAGATGAGGAAGAAACAACCCAACATGGGGGAGCCTATGAAGCAGGGGACACTTCTTGAACACAGATGAGCTTCCAAGAAAAGGATGAGCTAATGAGAGGCATTGTGGTTGTTACAGTCTAAATGATCTATACTCTCTTGTGCTTTATCTGTTGAATGAAAGGGTGATGGTGTTAGAATCTAGACCAGGCATGTCCAAAGTCCGGCCCGCGGGCCAATTGCGGCCCGTGTTCCGGTTTAATACGGCCCCACGGGTAATTTGGCAATATCTATCTTTTATGGCCCCCAACGAATCCATATGTATTGAGATGAATACATTGTAAAATCTCAGTTAAAGTCAGTTGGTCTAAATCAGTTATAAATATATTTGGACACAACATGTATACTTGGTGTTATGTTCCTGTTCATATTTTTTGAACTTAAAAGTTGACAGACAACCTTTATTACCAATAATATGTAATGTACTTTACAATGTTCCTGACATATATTTCAGCTTCCTGGATTTTTTTTTTCATCTGGCCTTCAGATATGAAAGGCAGAGTGATTTAACACCTGTTTAGATTTGTCATCCATGTGACGAAATGAAAAGTATGCCGTTTGCAATAAACTTTGCATAAAATAGTTAATTTGCATTTAATTTTAATGGTTCAAAGAATGTCAGGCAAAATGGTCGGCCCTCACGCATGTTCACTTCATCAAATCTGGCCCTCTTTGAAAAAAGTTTGGACACCCCTGATCTAGACAAAGCATCTGTTCTATACTCTATATGGGCACTTGAAGACACAAACTAGATGTCTCACACCTTCTGGTGGGAGTCTGGGAGAGGGTGTGTTTAACTCTGGGTCAGTCTGGAGGAGGCAGCCGAGGAGTGAGGCAGCTGGATGTTGGGTTGCAGTTCTCAGGAGGGGTACAACATAGAGGGTCTGTGCTTTCACAGGATGCCGGGGGCCCCCCAAAACTGGCACAGTGGGTAGTCCTGCTCAGGCTCCAGAAGCTTAAAACAACTGTGGACACAGTAACTGGGTTCCCTCACAACAGTCTGGTGAGTGGCCACAGGATGGTGCTTGACTGGGACCAACTGGTTAGCTACACTGAGGTAAAAATGACATGCCCTGTCTGTCTCCTCTAGGTTCTTACATTGAGATAGATACCTCAGAAGAAGGAGGCCTCTTTTGTGTGGGAACGGATTGTGATACTGACAAACAAACCTGTTACAAAACAGGGCCGGTTAAAAGCAGTAGGCAAAGTAATGTTTGAGTGACAGTTCACTTGTGTGTGGGCTAAAAGTGGTTACATCCCATGTGTTGATGAAAAATCAAGCAAGATACTGTGTATGCATTTGTATCTGTCTAATTAATCTTAAGATCAAAGAAGATGTATATCTACTGCATGGATCTAGTGGATTTTACCTACACTGTCTTCAGCTTATCTATACCTATTATGAAAAATTACCAACAATTGTCTTATGTAAATCAGGGTAGCTGAATTACCTGTGTCTACAGAGGAAAGAGAAGATTACCTTCAAGTGGTGAGTTATTGTAGGCTCTCTAATGTAGAGTTGCCAATCCTTCCGGTTTCACTGAGAAGGGTTTCAGGGTTGTCTCCGCAGGCTGCTCCTATCCCAGGTGTCAACTCTGCAGCTCCCATTGGCTGCAAATTGAGGCCAATGGGAATTATGGAGAGGGAGGTGCCAGTGGGTGGAGACTGTTATAGACTCATAGAATCCTAGGACTGGAAGAGACCTCAGGAGGTCATCGAGTCCAGCCCCCTGCCCAAGGAAGGACCAATCTCAACTACATCATCCTAGCCAGAGCTTTGTCAAACCGAGCCTTAAAAACTTATAGGGATGGAGATTCCACCCTTCCCTCCCCAGGGAACCCAGCCCAGTGCTTCACCACCCGCTTAGGGAAATAGTTTTTCCTAATATACAGCCTACACCTTACCCACTGCAACCTGAGACCATTGCTCCTTGATCTGCCACCTGCCAGCACTGAGAACAGCCTCTCGCTAGCCTCTTTAGCGCTCCCCTCCTTCAGGAAGCTGACGGCTGCTCTCAAATCCTCCTCACTCTGCTCTTCCGCAGAACAAGCGTAGGGCCGGTGTAGACACCCCATTGGACTGGATTGCTTCAATCGGCCCCGGAAGGTGTCCCACAAGGCCCATCCTGATGGCTCTGGGCAGCGCTGTGGGACCAGGCCCCATGTTCTTCAGGGCTGTGTCTACATTGGCACCCCTTAATATTCACTTCTCTAGATCTGCTGGAAATGTTCCTCCTAATGCACCCTAATATGCCATTAGCCTTCTTGGCTACAAGGGCAAACTGTTGACTTATATCCAGCTTCTCATCCACTGTAATCCCCAGGTTCTTTTCTGCCAAACTCCTACTTAGCCAGTCAGTACTCAGCCTATAACAGTGCTTGGGGTTCTTCCGTCCCAAGTGCAGGACTCTGCATTTGTTCTTGTTCAACCTCATCAGATTTCTTTTGGCCCAATCTTCCAATTTGTCTAGGTCACTTCTGAACCCTATCCCTGCCCTCCAGTGTATCTACCACTCCCCGTAGCTTAGTGTCATCTGCAAACTTGCTGGCGGTGCAATCCACTCCCTCCTGCAGGTCATTAATAAAGATGCTGAACAAAACCAGACCTAGAACCGATTTTTCTCACTAGCAGAGTTTACATTTACAGTTAATAGCATAGTTAATATAGAGAAGTGTACATTTTTCTATCTACTGGATAATCTTGTAAAGATTTCAGAGGAAATATTTCTGGACCAGGGATCTGGAAATTGCTTTTAAAATGAGGAATATGCATCATGCATTGTGTAGAGCATTAGAGAAAGAGGAAGGATACTTTAGGGAACAGATACCACAGATAAAAAACATGCAACAATTCATTTGCATTATGGTTAAAGTACAAGAGGTTACCCAAGCATTTTCAATCCACAAGATCTTCTACGGTTGCTTTTTCCCTCCTCTTTCACATTTTGAGCTCACATTTTCCAGTTATGGTTGCCACTCAACATTTTTATTTCCCTAGATTGTCCTTCTTCCCTCTTTCAGATATGGGCACTACATTTGCCTTTTTCCAATCATCCGGGACCTCTTCTAATCTCCATGGCTGTGTCTAGACTGGCAAGTTTTTCTGCAAAATCATCTGATTTTGCAGCAAAACTTGCCAGTTGTCTACACTGCCCGCTTGAATTTCCGCAAGAGCACTGACGATATCATGTAAGATCATCAGTTTTCTTGCGGAAATACTGTGCTGCACCCATTCGGGCAAAAGCCCTCTTGCGCAAATGATTTGCGCAAGAGGTCCAGTGTAAACAGCACAGTGCTGTTTTGTACAAATTAAACAGCACAGTACTGTTTTCCGCAAAAAAGCCCCAATCGTGAAAATGGCGATCGGGGCTTTTTTGCAGAAAACTGCGTCGATTGGCCACGGACGCTTTTCCGCAAAAAGTGCTTTTGCGGAAAAGCGTCCTGCCAATCTAGACACGATTTTCTGGAAATGCTTTTAACGGAAAATCATACCAGTGTAGACGTAGCCCATGAGTTTTCAAAGATAATGGCCAAAGGCTCTTCAATGGCATTTGCCAACTCTCTCAGTACCCTCGAATGTGTTAAATCTGGACCCTGTATTTGTGTATGTCCAGCTTTTCTAAATAGACTCATAGACTTTAAGGTCAGAAGGGACCATTATGATCATCTAGTCTGACCCTCTGCACAGTGCAGGCCACAGAATCTCACCCACCCCCTCCTAGAATAATCCTCTCCCCTATATCTCGGATATTGAAGCCGTCAAATCCTTTGAAGACCCGAAGATGCAGAGAATCCTCCAGCTGTGATCTGTACCCCATGCTACAGAGGAAGGCGAAAAACCTCCAGGGTCTAGTTCCTAACCTGTTCTTTCTCCACTGAGGGCTGCCTACCTCCCTCCCATTCTGTGTTGCCCAGTGCAGTAATCTGGGAGCTGACCTTGTCTGTGAAGACAGAGGCAAAGAAAGCATTGAGTAATTCAGCTTTTCCCACATCATCTGTCACTAGGTTACCTCCCTCGTCCACACCCTCTCTGATCGGTAGTTCGAACTAGGAAGCCTAGTTTGAACTACCTAGTTCGTGCCCCGTGTAGCCGCGTGGCACAGGGTTCGAACGAGCGGGGTTTTAAAAATGGCGGAGCCCCGCTTATGCAAATGAAGCCCGGGAAATTCAAATCCCGGGCTTCATTTGCAAGTGCGGTATGCCTACATTACCCCGCTAGTTTGAACTAGCGGGGTAGTGTAGACATACCCCCTCTTATTGCTAACATGCCTTTCTTGTTCCCTTTCCCATCTCTTGCTAGCTGCAATTCCAACTTTGCTTTCGCCTTCTTGATAGCTCCCCTGCATTCTCCAGCAATATATTCATACTCCTCCCTAGTCATCAGTCCAAGTTTCCACTTCTTATAAGCTTCTTTTTTGTGTTTAAGCTCACCAAGGATTTCTCTGGTAAGCCAATCTGGTCGTCTTCCATATTTGCTTTTCTTACTGCGCATCAGGATGTTTTTTCTTTTCTGATCAGAAATGACACAATGATGTCAAAATCCTCACAAAGTTCACGGATTTGGTTATGCCTCTCCTTTTAAAAAAATAGATGATCAGTTTCCACTTTCAATTGCAATAAGAAAAATCAAGGAATGAATGTCAGATTATTGCCTTTCTAGAGTAGACAAGGTCACATAATGCCCAACTCAGAACAGCAATGATATTATCAAATTAAATATTTTGTGGCTCTCCTTTCTTTCTTTCTTTCTTTTGTCATGATCCTGAACTCGACCATCTCATGATCCCTGCTTCCCAGGTTGCCACCCACCTCTACTTCCCCTACTTGTTCTTCCCTGTTTGTGAGCAGCAGGTCAAGCTGCGCATGGCCCCTGGTCGGTTCCTTCAGCACTTGTGTCAAGAAGTTATCCCCAACATTCTCCAAAAACTTCCTGGATTGCCTGTGTCCTGCTGTATCGGTCTCCTGACAGATGTCAGGGTGATTGAAGTCGGAGTGATGTGCTGGTCACATCTGGGAACCACCTGAGGTAAGTGCTGCCCTCCTTTATCCCTTCCTTCCCCCATCCTCCTGCTGCAGCTGAGAGCTCACACTCCCCATCCATACTCCCTCCCAGAGCCTGCCTCCTGACCCCCTCCCACACTCCAAACCTTGCCCCGTCCCAGAGTCTCCCCATCCATACTCCCTCCCAGAGCCTGCCTCCTCACCCCCTCCCACACTCCAAAATTTGCCCCGTCCCAGAGCCCCAACCCCAGCCAGGTGACAGTGAATGAGGGTGAGGAAAAGCATGCAATGGGTGGAGGGGGGATGGAGGGAGTGTAGGCAGGGCCTCGCAGAAGGGGCGTGCCATCAGGGAAGGGACAGGGTAGGAGCAGGGAAAGATTCTTAAGGTTTGAGCAATTGTATCTGATTTATGGTTTTAATAATCATTCATCACAGAAGAAGGGGCGTGCCATCAGGGAAGGGACAGGGTCGGAGCAGGGAAGATTCTTAGGGTTTGAGCTATTGTATCTGATTTATGGTTTTAATAATCATTCATCACAGAAGTCTGGATTGTCTGGCTGGTGTATGAGAAGTGAAAGTGCCCAACAGAGACTGTGCCAGAAGTCTGGATTGTCTGGCTGGTGTATGAGAAGTGAAAGTGCCCAACAGAGACTGTGTATGGCTTCATAATAACGAGTGTAGTATTACAGAAGCATACATTTGTTAAGTGTTTGATGAAACCTTATGGGAGATTATGCCACTAGTTTGGGGGTATATGCCTTATATTCTGGCCTGAGACTGGCACTCTTGCCATACAAGGCAGCGCGACAGAGATTGAATAAATGACGTGCAAAGGGGAAAATGCTGATTTCTACTTGAAGAGACACTGCTGATCTGAGCAGGACATGGCGTGATCAGCCGTGGACACTGGAGCTCTTTACCGTCCTCATCAGCGTCCCCTAGAATCTGATGTACACTCTGTTCTGCCAAATTCTGACAACTCTGGAAAATCAGATCTGTTTTCCAGATAAATTTCTGGGAAAAGGGGAGAAAAACATACAAAATGTACTAAAACTGCACGGTAACTGGCAAGTTATATAGTCAGAATTGAAAACAAGTCCTGAGCAGGAAAGACGTATAAGAACCCTACATTTTCCAGCTGGCAAAAAATTCAGAGTTTGCTGACTTTACGAAAATACGGGTGGGGGCTGCTTTGGCTTTAAAGAAGTTATCATGGCTACATGCACACTTATAGGGGCTAATGAATCACTACCTACAGCAAGGTAATATTATATGGTCTGCAGCCTTTGTGGAACATAGAAGCTAAAATAAGGTCCAGTGCATATCCTGATTGGAAAGAGACAGTAAATGCCATGGGCAAAAGATAATGATTTTCTCAAACCTATGAGACAAGAAAACAATTGGAGGAAGTCGGACCGGTTTTGTTCAACATCTTTATTAATGACCTGGATGAGGGGGTGGATTGCATCCTTAGCAAGCTTGCAGATGACACTAAGCTAGGGGGAGAGGCTAGATATGCTGGAGGGCAGGGATAGGGTCCAGAGTGACCTGGACAGATTAGAGGATTGGGCCAAAAGAAATCTGATGAGGTTCAACAAGGACAAGTGCAGA